TAGGTGTGACTTTAGCAGTGGGGGATCATTCTTTGGAGAAGCCTAAACACTTGGAGTGGTGGCTGCGCTATTTGCTGGGTGGCCCTGTGAACTGTCAGGTTCTTGAGGGCTTACAACATGGAGATGAAGCTTGTTTTCGCCAGTGGTTTAGAAATGGGTAGAGACGTTTAGTACAACGCACTGGAGAGGCCCCACTGGCGAGGCCTTTAGGATGGGCCTCTCGCTCGGTACTCTGTAATGGCCACCCTCCCTCCCTTGGCAGACAGGCGCCTGCTGAAGGCCAGAGGAGAGGCCACCTGGGCCTGAGGCTGCCGGGCCTTTGTGCCTTTTCTCCTGGGGCATGAGGTGGGCGCTGGCGGAGCTCTGGGGACAGCCCTGGGAGTCCTGCCAGGACACCGTAGTTGGGAGAAGTGGAATCTCTTCTCCCCTTGCAAGCCTCTCCCGCATCTTAATTCTTTTTATTTTTACTTTCGAGCCATGTAAGGCATGCGGATGGGGTAGGAGCGTTCCGGAGACATGTAGCCAGCGGCGCAAAACCGGCCGGCCCGCGTGGCAGGAACCCGGGGTAGGGACAGGCCTTGCGCCTCCTGCCCGACCAGCCCCGCCGCCCAGGTCGTGGCCGCCCCAGGTCGCGGGGCCCCAAACCGGCCACCCCCGCCCCGCGGTGCGGCAGGAGGCGAATCCGTGAGGCCCGGCCCAGCCTCGGCCCCGGCTGCTTCCCGGGAGTGCCCAGGCGAGGGGCCGATCGTGGTGCCGGGTACGCGGGCAGGGCTCGTCCTGGTGGGTCCGTACCCGGTGCCCCAGGCCGCCGGCGGCCCGGCCCACGTTTTCCCTCTCTCCGGCTCCCTCCGCCCCCTGCGCTCCGTCCCTCCCCTTCGCTCTCCTCCCTCCCTGCGCTTCCCCTCCTCCTGCCTGGTCATGTGTCGCCTTTTTTTGTTTGCAGTGGAAACAATTTCTCGCCGCTCGACGCGCCCCGGCCCGACGCGCCGCGGCGGAGGCGAGCGGGAGGCGGGACGGGGCGGGGAGAGCGGCGGGGCCGGCGGGAGGACGCGCTGTGCGCCGGGCAGACGCCGCAGGTCCCATGCCGCGCCGCGACCCCCGCGCCCCTGCCGCCCGCGCCCGCGGCCGCCCCCCGCCGCCCGCCGCCCCGGGCTTGCCGCGCCGCGCCCGCGCGACCTTAGCCGGGCCACCAAGCGATGCCCGCTGGGCGCCTGCGAAAGTTTGTCGGCTCCCGCTAAAGGGCAGCGGCGCCCCCGCGCCCCCGCGCCCCGCTCTGGCCAGGTGAGTTTGCTCCGCGCTCCCGCCGGCTCCAGAGCGGGATTGGGTGACTCGGGGCGGAGGCACTGGTCCGAGGCGGTCCTGGAAGCGCCCTCGCTGCCCTCGGCAGACGAGGGACTCCGCAGTTCCTGGGGGAGAGCGTGGGGCGGGAGCCTGGCGGGGTGGGGAGACGGGAGCCCCCGAGCGGGGAAGTTGCCGGATTCGAAGAGTTTTATGCCTAGACGTGCGGGCTCTCTCTCGTGCCTTGATTTCCTAAAAGACGCCCCAAAGAAACAGAGTTGGTATTGTCTGCGGAGGACAGGATCCCTGCCGTTCGGGCCCGGGAGAGAGGGTGCTGATCCAAGGGACACCCCAAGATGAGAAACAGGCTTCTAACAAAGATACCCTCCCCCCACAAACTGCAGGCTTGGCACCGGCAGTGAGTGTCTCCCGAGACCCCTGAGGCACGACCCCTCTTCACCCCGGCCCTCTTTGAAACCCTCCTTGGGTCTTGGAGAAGTTGGGGGACGGCGGGCTTTTATTGATGTGTTTTTAAGGCTCGCAGCGGTGCAGCCAATAAAAGGTTTATGACATCTGACCAGCAGTGAAGGTATGCGAGCTCCCAATTGCCCTGTATATGGGGAGAAGAGCAGTTTCCCCGTTGCTTGGCAACGCCGCTGATTGGCGCAGGACGTAGCCAATCCCCGCTCCCGTAGGTCCCCTTGAAATGTTTTTGACAAGTACAGTAGATGAGAGTGGAGCGCGTGCGTGTGCGCGCGTGCGCGCGGACAGGGGTTATCCACCCCCCCCACAGACACACTCGAGTGTGCCCTGCTGTGCTTGGTGAGGATTTCTCAACTTTTTAAAGTTCACATCGAACATCTGTTCAGAGCTGGGTCAGTAATGGTTTTGTCAGTTATTTGGAGACATACTGAAAGCCGGCAAGAAACTAGCTTTTCTGCTGCCTTTTCTCCGTTGAAAAGCAAAAAAGATAACGAAACACAACAAGGCATTAAAAAAACGGAGAGAGCGAGCGAGCGAGTATGGCGGGGTTTGCGACCAATCGCAAACTGAAAAGTTGTAAGGAGGTCACTTGTGAATAACTATTTGAGTAAATGATGGAGCAACCTTTTTGGCAGCAGATTAAAAATGTTTGCTTAACTGCAGGCTCACATGATCCGGATTCTTCCCCACCCCCCCAAATGGAGGAAAAAAGATTTGGCGAATTATGTAGTTTGAGTGTAATAATGGAAAACTCAGCTGTGGTTTCTGGGAACTGTTTTTTTTTTTGTTTTAAATGGAACTGGAGTGATCAGCAGCTCTTGATACTGTTGCTATAAAATACGGGTTTATAGGGATGCCGTTAACAGTTGGAGGGCATAGGTGGTGGGCAGACAAAAAGCAGGCAAATGATCCAAGGGGACTGACTGAACCCTGTAACCCTGTTTTCATGACAGTGCCGTTTTTTTAATAAAACCATATTGCTGGCAGTGTTTGTTTAAAACAAAAGAAAACATGGAGAATAGTGTGTTAGTTCCTTTGGGAAGCTACTGACAAATAAGCAAACTAAAAAGAAAGAGAGCAGCATGTTGTCATAGCAACAATGCAATTAAATTACTTGACTGTCAGCCATGATATAATTTTCCTGTTTGGAAGCTCAGGAGACATAAAACTTTCGTCTAGAGCTAAAGTTGACTTCATTGCCTGGGTAGTAGCTCTCTTTTGTACTCTACTGTGGATATTCATGGTTATCAGAAGATTCGTGGGTGTGTTTTTTTTTAAATTGGGATCTGAAGACACTTTTGAGAGGGACAAACAGCTTTGATTGATTTATAAAGAAGGTAAAAGCATTATCAGTCTGGTCTCTAAATCCCCAAGCCTCAAGATACTAGCTTATTCTTTAAAATGTGTCATGCGCTACTCAGGTTAGTACATGACAGAAAGGAATATTCCCCGTGGATCAGCTGGAAGTATGCATACTGCTCTGTTCAATGGACTTCAATGCCCATAGAAGTTTTCTTTCTTTAGAGTTGGACACCTCACTGCAGCTCCAGAGAGCTCCCCCCAGACCTTCTGTCAGCAGGTTCTGTTTGTCTACCTTTGGCAAGAGGGAGGGAGAGTTCTGGGGCACTCTGGGCTGGCTGTGGAGTGTGCCCCATGCTGTGCTTTCTAGAACCACATTCTAGAGCTTCCCCAGCTGAAGTGGCAGTTATTTTAGGTGTAGTGTCAGTGGACATTCCAAGCCATAGAATGGTCATATTCTTTGCTTTTGGTATATTTGTTTGTTTTTTTTTCCAGATAGATTGCTTGATCTTTTCACTCGTGGAGGAAAAAATAAAACAGACACGCTTCTTCAACGAAGCACATTGTTTGAGCGCTATAAAACGGAGGGTGGTAGACCTCTCTTCATTATCGTCACTGTTCTTTCTATCTTACATTGGGTACCAGGGAGGCGAACAGCTTTGTATCTGCTGGGGCCATTCTGTTTGTGGCCTCCCACCTACTCATTTTCTTATCTCATCAGATATTTTACTCCCTGTTCTAGATAGATCATTGACAGACATGGGGGTGGCTGCAGAAGAGACTGCTGTAGCAGTTTTTATTGAATTTGACTTCCTTTCTTGAAGCTGCCCCTTTGCTCTCCTGACTTTTTTCACCAGTTGTGATGTCATTAATGGCTTTCCCACGTATCTGTGGGGTGCCTGAAGTTACTCACGTTTTTGCTGAGACTGTAGTGTTCCAATAACACGAAATGGACTTCTTCCTCAAGATTGAATCCACAGAATTCAAGTGTAATTAAAGTTGCAGTTTTCTATCACAACTTGTGCAGGGGTGGGGGGGGGGCGGGAGGATAAAATAAAACACTACCAAGTTGATGCTTAGCGTGGCCACTGTTTTAATTCTGGGGCAGTTGTGATGGATGATTGTGTTTGTATGGAAATTCTGAGACAGCCGGCCTTGAGCGTACAGGTACTTTCTTTTTTGGAGGAACTATAAACACAGTGAGATTTATCACTCCAAGTGACAGGGAGGGGTTGTGCATTGAGCTTATTAGAGAGTGTTTATCATGAGGCTTGAAATATTTTTACCTGTGTATATATTCATGTGTGATAGATAAACTGAGGGAGCCAGAAATAACTGATTTTCCCAGGGTTACAGTGAGAGTGTTCATAGATCCAGGGAGAAGGCACTGTGGAATTTCCCATTCTTTTCTTCCTGTTAATCCGCACTAAGGATATTTTCCCATTGATTAGAGCGGAAGGGAGGGAGGGAGCAAGGGGGAGAGAGAGAGAGAGAGAGAGAGAGAAAGAAACATCGATCTTGTATGACCCGGACCGGGGTGGGGATTGAACCTATAATTCAGGTACTGTCAAGTGCCCTTGACCTGGAATCGAACCCATGACCCTTCTTGGGCTATTGCTCTAAACCCGCTAGGGTGAATTTTGCATCTTTTTTATGGTGAGTTTGCACATTAATGGTGCTGTAGATATTCCCAACTTACTGTATTGGGCAGTGACAGACAGGTCACTGCGCTGTCTGCATGGTAGACCAGTTTTCCTGTCTATGCATCTCTGTGTGGTAGAATTATGGGTTTGCATTATTTGGTGTAGGAGCCATGAGGTGTGGGAGCCATGAGGTGTGTTCCTATGTGGGACGGGGTCCACAGAAGTAGCAGCAGGGCACAGCTGCCTTTCCAGTTTGGGTTTCACTAACTCTTCTTTTCTGTGTAATGTGTTTCCCAGGAGCCTTCACGTAAATGGGTCCAGTCATGCCTCCCAGTAAGAAGCCAGAAAGCTCAGGAATTAGTGTCTCCAGTGGGCTGAGTCAGTGTTACAGGGGCAGCGGTTTCTCCAAGGCCCTTCAGGAAGACGATGACCTCGACTTTTCTCTGCCTGACATCAAATTAGAAGAGGGGGCCATGGAAGATGAAGAGCTGACCAACCTGAACTGGCTGCATGAGAGCAAGAACTTGCTGAAGAGCTTCGGGGAGTCGGTCCTCAGGAGCGTCAGCCCTGTCCAGGACCTGGACGATGACACGCCCCCGTCCCCTGCCCACGCCGACATGCCCTACGATGCCAGGCAGAACCCCAACTGCAAACCCCCCTACTCCTTTAGCTGCCTCATATTTATGGCCATCGAGGACTCTCCGACCAAGCGCCTGCCAGTAAAGGATATCTACAACTGGATCTTGGAACATTTCCCATATTTTGCAAACGCACCTACTGGGTGGAAAAACTCAGTGAGACATAATTTGTCATTGAATAAGTGTTTTAAGAAAGTGGACAAAGAGAGGAGTCAGGTAAGCCTCTGTCTGGAACTCAGGTGTTTCCTTTCTCTTGTCAAAATTTTTAAATTTTTCTCCATTAAAAAATGGTTGAAGCATGTAAAGCCACCACACTGAAGTAGCAGTTATAAATGGATAATTTTATTTCATTCATTTTGATAGTTGGAAACTTCCTTTTCCTTAGGTATATTAATTAAATACTGGTGTGTTTTTGTTGGCGTTTGTGCTGGGTTGAGGTTTTTCCACGGTGGTATCTGAACATAATCACTAAATGGTGGTTTGCACACTTGATTGGTTCTTCTCTCAATACGGATGGGTCATTTTGGGTTTATAGTACAAGGGGACAGCCATTCACCATGAGATGTATGAACATATGTATATATTTTTTTTATCCTCACCCGAGGACATTTTTCCATTTTTTTGTTCAGATAAAGCGGGAGGGAAAGAGGAAGAGAGAGAGAGAAACATCGACGTGAAAGGGACACATCAAGTGGTTGCCACCCGCACGACCCAACCAGGGCCGGGGACAAACTGCAACCAAGATTCGTGCCCTTAGTGGGAACCGAACCCGGGTCTCTCCGGACCGCAGGCCAATGCTCTAACTGCTGAGCCAAACCGGCCAGGGCTGAACATATTTTTGAGGAAAATTGCCACAAAGGGTTAGGGAAAATGGCATTTCCTTTTTTTTGAATATTCACCACTTCCTATTTGTATTTGCCCATGCCCAACACGAGTAGAATTGTCTCAGGCTCAAAATTCTAGTGGAAACAGAAACATGTCTGGAGAATGGCAGTCTCTGGGCTCCTGGAACACATGGATGGTTATGGCCATTGGCAAGCAACTGGAGCGTACTTATATGCTCCAAGACTAAACACAGACAGACATGAATTGCCCAGGTGACTCTTGAAATCAAGTGTCTACCTAAGTATTGGCAGCTTTGGAACTCCCTGAATGTGACTGCTTACTCAGGATAAAGGTCTCACTTTAGAGACCGACTTAAAAAGAGGTTGAATTTTGATTTTAAACCCTTAACTTGAGCTTCATGGTCCACTAAAAGGAGACTGGTTAGTAATTGCCTTTGCCTTTCTCATAAGGATGTAATAGGTACAATAGAAATCAGGTCAGCTGCTAGACCTGGAAAATAAAATTGTGATCTACCTTGGCGTTCTGAAAGGTAGTGTGGCCACAGTTAAAATAAATCGCAAGAAAACGTTCTCTGCACAGTCATCGTGCGACTCTGTTTTCCACGAATAATGCTGATGTTCTGCTTCCCTCCTTTTGGAGGTTCAGGCTCGGGCTCAGGACCACCGTGGTGTGGGGTCAGCAGCTGGGCAGGATTGGGACCTTGATTTTCTTTCTCTCGAGAAAGACATGTTTCTGTTTCCACTAGAATTTTGAGCCTGAGACAATTCTACTCGTGTTGGGCATGGGCGAATACAAATAGGAAGTGGTGAAGCCATGCTCCTTGCTGCTGCTGGACACGTTTGTCTGCAAGTGCTGTTCACCCCGAGTTTACGTTGAAGATGGGGAGTGGGCAGCGTGCAGGGTGCGAGGAGGGGCGTTGCCTGGGACGAAGACAGATGTGGACACTAGGAGCTCTGCGTGTGGTCGCCGGTGCAGGTGAAGCCTCGAGGCAGGGTTTCTGTGTGAGCATTCAGGTGCTCTGGGCCCCTCTTTTGCTGGGTCCTTATATTTACGTACCTGTGACAGTTGTCAGGTGCTGTCATCCCAGGTGCCCAGTCCTCTTCCTCCTGCCCTCCACATCTCAGAGTGGGCATTTGGAGACCAACCTCTGTATTTGGCTCTGTTGAGTGTTTTAAGATCATTCTTTGAACTTAGAGAAAAGTTGATGCTTTCCTGTAAAGAGCCAAGTCTGGTATTAAAAGCTCCCACATAGGCGGGTCCTTGTGACAAGAAAGGGAAAGTCTTAGAAGGCAATTTCAGGTTAGAATGTGGAGAAGAAAGTGGTGTTCAGGTCCCCCAAAGCTGCATGTCACTGATAAGGCAAGGAACAGGGCTTGTAGTTTAGTGAGAAATCATTGTGCAAGTGCCCGGGTCTCCCTGTGTGCAGCCGTGCTGGGGTGCATAAAAGTGCTGGGGTGCATGAAAGTAATTCTGCAAACCCACATTCCGAAATGTTAAATGGTCAACTCCAGAGTGTGCCCAGAGGCTGGGAGGATTGCCCACCTGCTGTGGGAGTGGCAGGTGTTGGATGGTTGGTCCGGAGAACCCTTTCCCCCGCGTTCCCCACCCCTGCCCCCCAGTCATTCGTATCTTCCAGGAGTGACTGTTGTCATTCTGAATAAATGCAGATGTCCTCTGTTGAAAGGGGGGCATTGTTTTAAGGATTTAAGATTGTGAATCTTATGAAATGTTGAGTTCTGGCTTCCTGGCCATGCTGACCTGTATTGACATGTTTCTGATCAAATGCCTTCAGTTTTGTGGTTGAGAGTTTGTTCCCCGGGTTTGTCCTGCTGGGAGAACAAGGCAAGGAGTGTGAGTTGTCTTCGCCCTTTTCTCCTCTTTCCTTGGGTGGCCCTGTGGGCAGCTGGGAGCAGCTCTGAGAGGCCCAGACTGCCAGGGACGTCCTGTCCTGGCTAGCTGAGTCAAGGGAAGGCATTCCCCCTGACACTTTGGCCAGTGAAACCTTCTTTGGCCCTCCAGGTAAACTTGTTTTTTTCCCAGGGGATTTTACTTGGTGGTGGCTCCCACACCGAGGTTCCGTTTCAGCACAATGACAGTGACTGAGTGCACTCAGATATTGGTGGGAAATAGGGTAGGTGAAGGGGAGAATGGAAGTCTTGCAAGTTGTATTCACAGAGTTAGCCTTTCCACTTTTTTTCCTTTTACAAGTACAGTATGCGACTTTAACTTGACATGACTGTGAGAACGCAGAATGCTGTGTGATCCTTGTCCCTGAGGGGTTGGAACGTATACTCTGCTGGACGGACAACTGCGTGACTGGGACGTTGGCATGCAGGAATGTACTAGATTGCATCAGAGTCATCCGTGGCTCTTAAAAACAATCACTGTTTCTCCGTCCCTCCTTGGAGATTTTGATTCACTGGATTTGAGGTGGGTTGGGGAAAATTGGGTCCCCGTCAGCTGTTTTCATAGGTGTTTCTGACTTGCAGCCAGATTGGAGAATCCCTCAACTAGGTGCTTTTGGGATCTTTCCAGTGCTGAAATTTCATCAAGAACATGTTCTCATGAATAAGTCAGGGGAGAAGACGTGGTTTTGCTTCCATTTTATCTGTTTCTCCCTTTTCTTTGGTTTTGTCTCTTGAAGGAACTTAAAAGATAGAGTTTTATTTTTATTTTTTAATTGAGGACAATTTCAAACCTGCACAGTAGAGAGAATAGCATGATAAATCCACCTAACCATCACCGCCATGACTCACATCCGGATTCTGTAGTTAACAAGGTCTTCCCTCTCCTACTTTATTCATTCTTTTGTTTTGTTGTACTTAGGTATTTTGAAGCAAATCCTAGACCTCGTGTTATTTTATCCCAGTATATTTTGGTGTGTATGCATAAGAATAATTGGCAGTTTCTTACATAACCGCAATGCCAGTATCACCCATAAAAAGGTGAACAGTTCTTTGGTATTACCTCATACCAGGTCCGTATTCAGATCTCTCTGATGGCTTACAAAGTGTTGGTCTGAGTTTGGATTCAGATATGGCTTGTGTGTTGCATTTGGCTGTTATTCATCCACTTCAGTCCTACTCCAACCCCTTTTCATGCCCTTCCTTGTTCGGGGGACCCATCCGATGGGCTATAGAATGGCCCGTGTCCTGTATGCTTCGCTGAGATGTCATTGAGCTTGTTCATCTGTCCTCTGTATTTTCTGTGACAAAGTTAAGTGCTAAAGGCTCTATCCTATTCTGGCTTGGTTTCCCCCAAGAATACTTTATGGTTGGCCTTGTGTGTTCTCAGTCAGGAAGCCTGGAGGACCCTCTCGTGGGGATGCTGGGCTCTAGCCGTGGGTTCATGCGGGGATCTCCTCTTCTGAGAAGTTCCCCATCAGCCTTTCATCGTATGGTTTCATCTGTTGAGAACCTTTGCCTGAATCAATCATGATAGAGTTTCAGAGTAGGGGACTAAGTTTCATCCCTCCTAAAAACAGACCTGTGTTAGCACTATAAATGAGCTAGTACTAACCTCTGAGTACTTGTAAGTGAGAAATAAAGCACAGTTATTATTATTTTTTTATTGACTGGATAATAAATGGTTCAGGTATGTGTGTTTCTATTTCTGTGCTTTTTCTCAACTTCCCTTTTGCCACTTTAACAAAATAAAAAACCACATTGTTGTCATAAGAAGGCATAACAGAAACACTGTACAAAAGTATATTTTTCATACCCAAGGCTGAGTACTTAAAATATAATTTTAGCTTAATAATGTAGGAAACTTGTCTTGGTTGAAAAAAAGACTGGGTTGGAAGCCAGGATACCAGGTTCTAGTTTTGATGCTGGTGGCATGCGGCTGACTTGGGCCTCGGTTCCCTCATATATAGCACCAGGGTGTGTAGTTGCCTGGGGTCTTAACTTGGGTCTTTGGGTGTCAGAGGTCCTACGACAGCCTGAAGTTATTGACCACGTGTCATGTGACTATGTATATTGCATTTCCTAGAGGATCCCAATATTTTGTTTAGTTTTTCAGTTCTCTTTAAAAATTTATTTTCTTTATTGATTTTAGAGAGGAAGGGAGAGGGAGAAAGATAGAAACGCTGATGAGAGAGAACATTGATTGGCCGCCTCCTGCATGCCCTCCACTGGGGATCGGGCCCACAATCTGGGCATGTGCCCTGACCAGGAATCGAACTGGCGACCTCTTGGTGCATGGGTCAACGCTCAACCACTGAGCCACACTGGCCAGGCAGTTTTTAAGTTCTTAATGGAACCTCTGACCCAGGAAAGGTGAAGAACCACTGGTATTTTATAACAACAGCCCACTTAATGTGGAACATCTTTGTGCCTTCCATATACACTATCCCATTTCCTCCTCACTAC